TTTTGTCCTAACCATTTGCATCGTAAGCATGAGAGATACATTCCCTCCCACTTTTCTATGTAATGTATGTAACTCGGCAAGGGGATTAAAGACATAATCACCCCCCCCCTGTTGTTGGGGTCCAGAGAGAGGATGCCCAGGAGGCTGCAAATTGCTGCCGTCAACATACGGACAGCCGGGGCCTGTCATGCTAACAGAGGATGAGACATTCGGAGCAGCAGGATCACAGGAGAGAGAGATGCGACAAGGCAGGAGCAACTTACAATCAATATTCTCTGCCAACCTCCTTTATGTATATGACTAGTAACATCCACCATTATGTGCTCAACTGCAGTGCTTGATATAATTGATTGGGGCCGACGTGTGGTGTCATGTGTATGAATTAGTGTGTATGTTGGGGAAATGGAGAGAGAGAGAAATATGTGCGATTTAGTGTGTGAGAAGGCATGGAAGATGTGAAAGACAAAAGCAGCACAAGAGATTTGCAATTGTGAAATTGATTAAGGCTCTCACTCTTTCAATATTGCAGAGATGCGATCAAGCAGAGAAACAGGGACACTGTCTTAAGTGTCTTGTGAATTATTTATTCTGACACTGTGCAAAGAATACGCTGTGTCTGAAACAATAATGTTGATACCTGGCCCTTTGGGGGAGGATGATAGGAGAGGAAGGTGGCGGTGCTTCAATATTTGTTAAAATCTTTGTGTCATTGTTTGTCTAGAGACACATATTCAAAAGTAATGAGAGGTTCAAATATAATCTTGTGATGCCACGGTGACCCACACTATTGTCTGCAAAATAAATAATGGTGGGATCTTTCAAAAGACTTAAATTCAAAGGTTAGCAAAGAATAGATTTACAATTTGTGTCAGGAGAGATGAAAAATATCCTCAAATCTTCGTAGAGATCCGGACGGGGATCAATGTAAGCAGGCTATTGGCTTTTATGACATGGCGGGTTTTCCTCCCCTTTATACTTTACATTCTCTCTCACCCTCCTTTTCTCTCCCCACCTCTCTCTCCTGGGGCATTTATGTGAATGAGAGAGGAATGAATCACTGTGGAAGTAGTGAAGAAATAACTTTTCATGTGAAAACACCTCAGCTTTTATGGCTTTACTAAATGATCCATAATGCGGGCGGGGAGCACTCAGTCCTGCAGATTAAGGCGGGTCGTAGTGAGAAAGAGGCTCAGTGCTGCAGCCGTTAGACCCCTCCACTGAAGCTCGCACCAGTACAGCACCAGCTGAGGTAGGCACAAATCTCTTTTACGAGGCTGCCTCTTAAATAGCTGTCAGTCTAGTGTCTCGCACGTGGCACACTCCTCCAGCTCCCCTTGCAGTAATTGAACCATCTCTCCCGGAGTGCTGAAATGGTGTGGGAACCCATTCCGACAGCCTGTGTTGACACCATTAAACCAAACTTGTGCATAAATCTCACTACAAAGCCATCGTCACCCACAATCTACTGAATCCTCCACACCCCCAAAACAACCCTACCCCTTGCTCCATTTCACCAAAGATAGCCTCAGAGGTAGTTTGCATCTGAATATTACAGTATTTACATTATTCCTCAAGGGATACTGTAACTGCTTTAATAGTACATCCAACACAGACTGTATGGGGTTATTTTTAGAAGGACTGTTGCCTCTCTCATGTTCTTCAATCCGTGACAATGTTACAGCATTTAGGAATAATTGTGTGCACTGGTAATAAACAGACTAATTCATAGAAAGGAATAATCCCTAAACTTCTCATTCTTATTTATTTATTTAATTGATACACTTAATTAGCTTTTAATCCTTGACACCATATGGGATTGTTAGTGCCTTAAAGAGAGTTATCATGTTACAATAATATAATTATATAAATATTAAGAATTTATAGAAGTGGTAAATAACGTTAAATATACAGGAACACCAATTATGTCTGACGTCTTTTGCTCTCTGAGTATTAAATAAATAAGCAACCTATATCCTCATTATAGTCACCCATAATCACTTAGGTGAACGCTTAGGAAACAAAACATGCACATTTTATGTTATACCATTTCATTATTTAACAGTTAATCAGTTGTGTTACACTTGACGATTAGCATAATATAAATGTGCACGTTGAAAACTGTTATAATGTTGATGTCATTGACAGTAGCACCTTTGACCTCAGCTTAATGGCTGAACAGGTCACCCAGCAGTATATCAGGGTGTTCTACAGTGAAATCACACCCATCTACACCAATGCAGCAATAAGAGAAAATTAACCATCGGGTGTTAACAATAACATTTATTTTAAAGTATTTATATCAAAAAGAAAAACTGAAGCAATTACACAAGGTATAAATGAAATTGTCAATAAATGTCCTCATTGGTGTAGTTATGTTGATATGACAATGATATTGATATTTATAAGAATAGGAAAGTTCCAAAACAAACAAACACAGCCCAAACAAATGTGCTTTTGAAGAGGAATAGAGAGAAACCAACTTATGTTTTGTAATTAAAATTATTATTGCTACAATGCCTGCTGTTTCATCTGAGAGCAGTTTTTAATTTAACTTTTAGTCGGTGAGAGAAAAACAACTCTTAAGCTAATGAATTTCAGGAGCTTCTCTCCATTAGACATACTTCTATTACTGCAATATGCATTACATTCGAATCTGAGAAAGCCAATCATTTTCATTGAATTCCCACAAGTCCATCAACTGTAGAATCTGCTTAAGTGAGATGCCAACCAAGCCAACAGATACTGTAAGTAATGACTTCCTTCTCTGAAAACACTGATGCAAGCCAATGCTTTAATAAGAACCCAAGTGCCAAACTCACTGCTTCACTTCTCTTTTTAATATAAACACAATAAAGAAGCATTTGCATTTATATAGTTCTTCCAAACCATCTGACGTTGCTGCCAGCCAGTACCCAGAGACAGCTCAGCATCAAACTGATTGTTACCTGGGGAAAATTAAGATAAGGAAGTAATCCCTTGGACGAAAATGGCTTTGTTGGACCAACAGCGGTAGGGCCAACTGGGTAGCAGAATTAGCAAACCCCTGCCTGCTGCTAGTAATGAAAATACCTATACAGCCTTATGTTTTCAATGTGATACGAATGAAATCTACCTCATCCCGCAATGGGATACAGCATATCTTGATCTTCTAAGGATTAAGGTTGTTTGTATTCTGGTATGGATGGGGTAATGACTGTATGATGTGACTTGGAATATGAATGAAAAGCTAATATGTGCAGTGCTATGAATCCACTGGGAACTACAACATATCAGGATTCAACCAACAAACTGTGGTTGAAATGTTTTTGGTGTTGCACTTGCTGAGGAAACGCACCATGTATTTTGTGTGTCCTCATCTTTTTCACCCAATAGGCTTTTAGGTTAATTTACATTTGAGCTATTTTTTCCCATTGCCACAAACTAGCCTCAAAATAGCAAACCCTCATTAGTCACACTCGTATAGACCAGGTAGTGCTGCTTAATCTGCAAGCTCCTACATACAGGGGGAACAAAAGAGTGCTATACAGTAGGTGACAGGGACAGAATAGTGATCTGAGCTGTCTGACTTAATGGCTCGATGACTTTAATGATAATCCAGTAGCTTTCCTCCCCCTTAGGAGCTCCATTGGATGACAGGAAACAAACAGTGCTCTGACACTTCCCACTAATTAGCATCATTAGCATATGGCCATTATGTGGCTGGACAGTAGCATGACAGGGCTCTAAGAAAGGCTACAGTGGTGACCTTTGGTCGACAACACCAGCTGTCAGTAATTACCCATAGTATTGGCCAGAGAGCTGGAGACAAAGACCGACTCCTTGTCCTTGAGGACCTTTGGCACCCAGTAACGTCCCCTCTTTCATTTCTTTTTTTTTTGTTAGGGAAATTATTCATAATAAGACAGAATGTGCTTACTTGCTGTAAGGCAGGTATGCAGTACTGTTTAAACAACAGGCTTTTGCCTCCCTTGCATGTTCTGGTATTATGCATACAGTATGGTCTTTTGTGAACGTTTTTCTTTTTATATGCCAATTATAAATCAAATCAAGTAAAAAGAATCGAAAAGTTTGATATGCTTCAGGCTAAGCTTTAACTAAAATGCGTTACTAAATGGAGAGATGTGTCAATGAATGCCTATTTGCTGCCAGAGGCTTCAGAAAGCACTGTTGACAAATATAAAGCTCTGAGTGAGAAATAATGACTTCAACACTGTTGCTCCACAAATCCACATTTGGAGGATTCATGTGGAAAGGAATCCATTCTCTCCCTAAGTGCCAGTAATTGTTTGTTGTAGAATTCTGAAGCTTCTAACAGTCTTTGAAGATATAATGTTGACTTTATGACTCCATGTTTCCTTTCATCTATGAGCGCAACTTCTGTGCCGATTAGAAGCAAAACAACTCTAAGCATCAGTTTAGTAGAACGTAATTTGAAACATCAAAAAATGTGTTTAGAAAATTATGTGCATAGAGATGAAATAGCTACCTGGTGCAGCGGTAGCAAAAACACATGAACCTTTGTCTCTCACATATAATCAGTATAATCACAGAAAAGTATGCATGAACGCATGCAAAGGTGTGTGCACAAACTTGCACGTGCATAACTGTTACTATACTTGTGAGTCCCCATAATTGATATTTTCCAATCACTTTCTTACAACCTTAACCATCACAAATATGTGTCCAACTCCAAACGTACCTAAACCGAAGACACGGTGAATCCTTCAAACATGCCAGTCTGTCCTACTTGTGTTAATGTGTCCTCACTCTCAAGGTCTTAAACTCATAGTTATCCTCAGAAACATAAACAGTGAGATAGAAGTCCCCGAGTTTTACACTCAACCACTCACACACACAAATAAAACACCCACATCCCCACAGCTGCTCTTCCATAATAAGGTGTATATTATCTTACTGTAACTAAATTCCAGCTATTTTCCAGTCTCTTGGCTCGCAAGCTTTTATTCTGATTTTCTGACCATGTTTTCTCCATTCAACAGGAACATCCGTTATGAAGGTTAATGCATCTGATGCTGACGACCCTACATACGGCAGCAGTGCCAAAGTGGTGTACAGCGTAATGGATGGAGAAAAGATTTTCACGGTAGACAGAAACGAAGGTAAGAATGATTACATCCACACATGCAGACCTCCCTAAACCTTCTTAGAGATTTTCCTGTGCTCCTTTAAATGCTTCTAAAAATCAATTGTCCAAAAAACAAGCAACTTTATATATTTTTAGCCTATAACTGACGGCTCCTTTCAGCAAGCACTCAACATACCATATGGCATAAATGACAGTGTCACCTTCAAGCCCTATACTTTTTTTGTAAATATATGCATACAAATAAAACACCTGGGCATTCAGAGTGTAATAATAAATACATATATACATTTTTTACATGCTGTTTTATTGATTTTGTTGCACTCTGTTGATGCCAATCAGAACAAATGCACTGGGTGCTCAGCATTTGTTTGCCCACTAGTGCTGAGGATGAAATCATAATAAGTGTATACCTACTGTACCGTTATTATAGAATGATGTGTTGTGTTTCCAGCAGATCCAAATTCACCCTATTGAGGCCCTCCTGCAGCTATACAATGAATAATTCCCTTATGCCATACTGGCCTGGGGCTTGACCCAAAGTCTTCCATGAGTAGCTTAGCATCAGTGTTGCCTTTGAATGCCCCACAAGGGAAAAGCACTAAAGTTTTAATGATTCCTTTTTTGGTCTTTACCACTTTGATTTGGTCAGCCTGGGTGTGTAGATGATAAATGGCCCTGCCTCCGTGGGACTAGCCAAGATACTGGATGGTTCATTCCAGCTTCTGTCTCAGGACTCCTATTCCACACACCCCCTCTACCCATTTTGTACGCGCCAGCCTAATAGGCACAGTCAAGGAGGTCAAAATGAAAAAGGGGACAAAACAGCTGTGAAATCTGCCTCGTTAATATCACTCTCTCTCAACCTGACAACAAACTGAGGAGAAACTGAGGAGAAAGTCACTGTGTTGTTTCTGTCACTTTGGCCATGCTGGAATTGTCTGTAGGTGTTAGACGTATCTGAATCAAAGGAAAACTTCTCCTTGTTTGTAGATCATTATATCCTTTGTAACAATAAAAACATTTTAACCACCTACTAAAACACATGTATATGAAAATGTTATTTTCGGTTCTATTACTGATTTTACATTTATTCTGTTTTCATTTTGATTTTCATAAAGGTTTCCCTGTGTCCATTATTCAGGAATTGGGAGAAAAAATGTCTGGCAGAATCTGACCAAAGTTGTATAGTAGTAAAGGCCCTGATTCACTAGAAGCAGAACTAGAGTAGAAACATAAATGCAATTAATGTAAACAAAAAAAAGTTGAACAACAGAATGTATTTTATATTAATGTAATGCATTGCAATACTGAGGCTGCTCTATTTCACAATTGGTATACACGGCCCAATTACTCATTTATATTGGTTAATGTTAAAGGTCCCTTGTCATGGCCATTTCCACTGATCATAATTCCATTGTTGAGGTCTACTAGAATAGATTTACATTGTGCAATTTTCCAAAATCACATTGGTTTCTCATACAGCATCTCTGTATAGTATGTGTATTCACTCTCTGTCCTAAACGGCTTGTTGAAGCTCCTGCCCCCCCCCCCCCCCTCCCTATGAGCCCATTGGCCGTCTGCGAGACAGCGAGACACAGCGAAACCCAGCCCGAACACACACACCCGCAGCCTGTCTGGGAGTTTGTGTGTGTGCTCACACACCGACTCACAGCCTCGCCGCATCCTGCCGTCTCAGGGAGGAGAAATCGGCGGAGCTGCAGCTGAGAAAAGATTGAGTGTGTGTGTGTGAGGAACGTAACGTAACGGCTCCACGGATTGGTCCATTTGGACCAATGGGTCCATTTGGGTATGGGCACGTCACTGTACCCAGGAAGAAAAAGAGAAATCTCCAACAAGGCGTTCTGGGGCAGCATAGACAGGTATTTTCTGTGTTAGAGTTTTACTCGCTACAGGGTGTACTTTGAGGGTTTGGGACTTTGCAGACCGTTTACATGCAGAAAAACCTTCATAACACACAAGGGGATGGGTATTAACCGGAAAAGCATGACATGGGACCTTTAAGGATGTGTGATGTGCATTTGAAATGAATTGCATAGACTGCATTCATGAACACGGGTCATGCAGACTGCTCTACCATGATGTTTGAGCAATGGTCCTGTGTACTAGCTGTGGATTGAGGCTTTACTAGTGACAGCCCTAATTTAGATGCGTTCCCTCTGGCCTTTGGTGGATGAAAGAGGAGCATGTCATCGTTCTCCCTCCTTAACTGCACTGCTGCATGTACTGTATTTTGGCTACTCATAGAAAATGGCCCTAGGCTAAATGTGAGTGGAATCAGTGAGTTGTGTACCAAACACAATGCAAACCTTTGGGAGTGATACAGCACACCAAGCCCAGGAAATGCATCAATAGATTCTGATGTGGAAAATCCCAAGGGGTAAACTGAAAATACATTACTGCTGCACAGCCAGCTACTGCTGCTACTGCTGCTGGGCCAACAAGGATAATGTCTCTTTTACACCAAGAAGGACTAACTGCTAGTCTGTGAGATACCTTAGCTATATATTTATAGAATACAACCAGACCCCACAGTACTGGCTGTCTCAGATACCAAATAGTTTTTATGTAAACTTTACAAAGTGGATGTCCTATATCCTCACCCAAAAAGACAGAATGGTCTAGAGGCAGATCTAACATAACCTTATAATAGCAGGCTGTCTGCGTATGGTCATAGTTAACCGACCAGATTTTTTTCCAGCAATGGTTTGTCAGTTATTTTTTGTTCTGCTGATCTTATGTTGAATTTCACTTTAACATTTTATGAAAGTTCTTCAAATTCGCAGACCAGCAGGACTCAAGAAAACAACCTGTTTTTAACTGAACACTAAATGTGACAGTTTGTGCAATCAGGGGTAAATGAAGCACTTAATGTGTACCTCCCCTGTGCACCTTCTTACTCACCCACTACATTATATATATTTCTCCATATCCGTCCAGCCTCTTTTAGAATCCACTTCCAAGGTTTGAGAGCAGTTTTACCTCCCATGGAGGCGTTGAAATTCTATTCACCGTGGCTGAGGCTTGCCTTCATTCTATACCCCTATATATGATTCATTTTAATACAGCTGAGCCATAAAATGGTGTATGAGCAGAGGCGCTAATATGACACAATCTCCTCCATCCAGCCAGTCTGAGGAGGTGAAATGGAATGTGCTGCACTTGTGTCTCCATAATACAGTGCTAACCAGAAGTTGATATTCAAACTGAGAGGGGGGATTTAGTCGGCTGTTGCACAAGTGCTAACCACTAATGTAATCTTTACATTGGCCCAACTTACTACTCTTTCCCACTCTCTGTCTCCCACTCTGTCTGTTTCCTTCAATATCTGCTCCATCTCTCAATCAATAGGAATCATCATGACAGCAGTGGCAGATTTGGACCGTGAGACACAGGATCGGTATGAGTTGGTCGTCAAGGCAACAGACATGGCAGGACAAATGGGCGGACTCTCAGGCTCTACCACGGTGACCATAGTGATCACAGACGTTAATGACAACCCACCGCGCTTCCCACAGAGTGAGTTCATCCCACACAAGATCTTATTTTGGGCAGAGGATAAGATGGTGGAACACAGGAGGAGAGTATGGTAATACAATTTCAAAATGGCAAAAAATGTTAGACAGAAGTGAAAGGTACGAAAGTAAAGAAAGTAATTAAAAAAGGTGAATAAAAGAGGCACAATGTAGTTTGTAACATGCGTGTATCTGACACCACATAAGAGCAGCATCAACAACCATACTGAATGGCTTGCATTTAGTGCAAGAAATCAACTAAGTTACATTTATTGCCCAATCAAACCTGCAGCCCATAACAAAGTAGTCTATCAAATGTGGAAAATTGATTCGACCCCCTGCACATTTGATTATTTAAATTGGTTCATTTTTATTTTCAAGTGAGGCTTGAGAGAGGATTTAATCAATACAGTTAATTGTTCCCTCGTTGTTATGTCATGGCTTTTTAACTTGTGAGTTCCTTTGTGGTGTGAATGGGTTTCACATGTCTTTTGTGCACATACAGTATGCACAAAGGTTAACTTGCAACTCACCACACAAATACATAAAAAAAAGCCTTTTGAAATATTGCATATTGCACAAAAAGAAGTAGCACACTCAAAAATAAGTGTAGAAGACATATTTCACCATGTTGACTATGTGAAATAGCACTTCCCCTTTTTTGCACTTTTTATTCTGCCCTCTTTTTTTACAGTTAAACCATAACACTATTACTTGTGTTACAGCTGGGGAAACCGCATCTGACAGCCCTGGTTGATTGTATTCGATATGTCTCTGCACAACTTTTCTTATTTCTGTATAAATCCTTTTTTTCATTTCAGTAAATCATATTTACCATGCAGTCAGAGGGATAAACCCTGCAGGATTATAGTATCTCCAGTATGGGAAAGATAGAAGCTGGAAAGCAGCTTCATGCAAAAGAAGATCAATGCTGTATATATTCATGTTTTTACATTAGTTCTTCCTCTGGGAACAATAAAGTTTTATTTACTTACTTGTTTCTTTTTATGTTTTTCATAATGAACTCTGGCGGATCTGTCGTGTTATTTGAAATTCAGATTTAGGCTTGAAGACAGGAGATAAAAACAAATAAAAGTCATAGGTGATCATGCAGATTACTAACTAAACAAAACAAATAACACAGAAACAGTTTTCTATGGCTAAATTGTATTTTGTTCACCTGTAAACCTTTTATGGGAATGCAATGATTACTCTGAGAATGAGTGTCAGAAGTCTGTTGCAGTTATTTTAATATAATCCCATCCAGACTGTATTTTTCCATAAGTCTTTTTCTTCTTTCAGCCTTTTTGTCTGAAAAAAATCCCTTCCTCCTCACGTTTCTGTCTTTGCTCCTTATTGCTCCCACCGTTCTTTTCCCACCTACAGCCAGCCATCCATATATTTCCCCTTCATTTTCTCCTCTTGTGTTGTTTTACTTTTGTCTTTTGTCCTTGTTCTATTGTTTTCTACACCCACATTGTTTTTTTGTTACTTCATCCTTCGTTTGCTGTGCTTAACTTCACTTTTCTTCGTTTTATCCTTCAATGCGATTTCCACCTCCGACCACCTACTCCTTAAAACCAGAGATGTACCAGTTTTCTGTGTCGGAGGGGGCGGCTGTGGGGACCCCAGTTGGGCGCATCATTGCCACAGATGCAGACATGGGAGAAAACACCGACATGAGCTATCTGATCAAAGAGGAAGGGGATCTCTTCAAGGTCACCACCGATGTAGAAACACAGGAAGCCATTGTTTCGATCAAGAAGGTACAGTAAACTGAAATGAATTCTGCACCGCTCTCATTGTTGTCTGTGAAGCAACTTTTTTGTCCACCAGTAAAGAGGCAAATATTCATAAGAATACACAAAATGATTTCTCAAAACATTTACATTAAATACTCACCTTTGTCATGCAGTCTCTTTACTCCACGGAATGCTACCAACAGTCTCAGTGTTCTAGCTTAGAGGCATTCTCTCATTGTGTTACAAATGTATTAACACAGTTTTGAGCTCACCCGTACTATAAACAAGAATTTTTGTATTTTAGCATCACCAGTTGCTAGTTGTCTTTTAGTTTTTTTATTACATCTTTAGTTACAGCAATCCCTACCATATCTGGCAGTATCTAAAGAAAGTTATTGGGACTGACAGCTAGACATAAGGTAAAGGGACTAACCAACCAAAAAGGTTTGTTTTGCTCCCACTAGCCAAAGCTGTTCGGACAGAGAAATAGAATGCCTGCTGAGGAAATGGAAAAGGGGAAGTGATTTGTCTTTGAATCTTGATCAACATTGGTTTCTCAGTGGGTTTAATAGATTTCGTCAATGCCGTGTTTCTTCAAAAGTCAAACTGTTTTGAACTTTTACAAAAAATGGGAGATGTAGTATATTTCTGTTCTGTTGCGAATGGCATAATGAAAATACAACACACAGCCTGTAGCAGTATTTCGCTTGAAAAGAGGGGTTGATTAGGACTGTCAAAAAATGTGGCAGTCCTAATCATTCTAGCACTGGTGATGACTGAAGACAAGTTGGATTTGATTAAGGAGTACTTTGTTTGAACCATTTTTATAAAACTGAATTTTGTTTGTCTTTCAGCCGCTGGACTATGAGAGCAAGCGCACACACAATGTTGTGGTGGAGGCAGTAAATAAGCATGTGGACCCTCGCTTTGTGGACCTGGGTTCCTTCCGCGACCAGACCATAGTCCGGGTCAGCGTGTCAGACATAGATGAGCCACCCATCTTTCAACCGGCAGATGGCACTATAATGGAAGTGCAGGAGGATACTAAAGTAGGAGCACTGGTTGGCGTCATCAGTGCCAGGGACCCGGATGTGAAGAACAAGCCTGTTAGGTAAGGCAACAAATCACAGCTAACTAACCCAAGCACTCAAAAAGCACTAAAAGATAGAGAAAGATAATTAATAACCCTGACTGGTGTATACTGACCATATGGATAACATATGAAAGTGTGTTTTATAAAGCATTAGTCCACATTAAAGTATCCAAATTAACCAAAAATAAAACAGCTGCGCAAAATTATCCAAGAATGTGCAGATGGTCAAAGTTAGAAAGAATAAGCCATGTTCAAATCACGACTTCTTCAAATATAATAAATAGAACAGACTGAAGCTTTAAAGAAGGAAATATGTCTGAACCAATAGTAGTCATGATAGCTAATGTGCATGTATGATTTGATTTAGTAATATTATTACATTTGCTATATGAAAATCGTTTGGGTGTGTTCAAAATGTGCCATATAATAAATGACTGAAAATGAAAGAAATAGGTTGAAAACAGTACTTAGATACTTTAGGCATACAGGTGCTTTCTAGAACAGTAGGTAGCCTAATAAAATATATCAACCAAAACATTGGCAATAAAATATTGCTATGGAAAGATTACTGCTGAACAGGAATAATAACATTGCGGAACAAAGTTTTGCATGCCAATGAGTCCATTGTTTTTATGTGGCATGGCTGGGACACTGCAGAGCTGCCACATTCACCGCCCCCCCATTTGCACGCTATTATCAACTCAATGCATTGTGCATGAACTGTATATGACTTTACCAACTAAATGTGTACAAGAAAAAATGTAACTTTAGAACCAATAACTCACCAACTGCAAGTAAAAAACAATTTCTCTTCGAGATGGAGTAAAAGCCGAGGCAAACTATAAACGGTGAGACTTGTACAATGGATAAAGCTGTACTGTATGTCTCTCAGATCACTGCGTGTGATAAAAATAATATCGTCTGGTAATCTTCTGTACCAAGGTCTGAGGATTGTATGTCCTCAGAAGAGCAATTTCAGTGTGAGAGGGGAATGTAGATAAGGGCTAAGACAGTCTCACTGACAGAGTGTACGCCGACACACGCAGTGCCTGTGCAAATTACCTCGTTTAAAAATGCATGAAGCTCAGAGTTACAGGTGTAATAAAGTACAACACAGTGACAGAACTGTCGCTCACCATTGTCTTGGCAGCCGGTAGATGCGCGCGTGATACGTGTGCAAGCATATATAAGTGTGTCTGTGTTTATGTGTGTGCGTGCGTGAGTAAATGAATAGATGAGTTTGTGAAAGAGAGGGAGAAAGGTTGGCTAGGAGCCATCTACTGGGCAAAGTTAGTGGGCTCATGGCCTCAGGCGCCAGACTTTCTGTGAACTATGCATATTTATGCTCCCTAAATGGCGATGTTTTAGTGCAAAATATGTGTTAAGAGGTTCTTGCTGCAACGATAAAAACAAGCTGCTGAAAAAGGAATGAGTCATGTAACAACTAAAACAAAGAATGTTTGAAAAACAAGGGTGCAAGCAGGGTGTCAAACAGCTGGCAGTCAAGTTGTATAAAGATGTTCTTTGAAACAAACAAACAGATAACACAATTATCCTCCAGTTTAAAGGTCTTACATGCGACTATGTTGGGGATGTGGAAACCCAACTCTGAAGCAGCCAACGTTGTTCTTTGTGATGCGGGTGGATTTTGTAAGAAAGAAGGAGCTTTGTGATTCTGGTGGTATGAGAGAAACACATTGTTTTTGTGCAAAACGATTGTTAAGAGACTAAAGACATTGTGATGATTTCCCCCAACTCTCATCCCACCAAAACAGTCATGCACTGGAAAGCAAATGATCATTGAAAACAGGACTGGACTGAATGAACAAGAAAGAAAGCTAAACCAAGACATTCTAAAGCAGGATTAGAAGTTTTGTAAAGAGTAAGAAATATAATTGTATTGTACTGGAGACATATTTTATATGGCAAGTAAATGTGTCCTATGCAAATCTACTCACTGCCTCATTAAATGGGCTGGATTGCGACCGCTTGTAACTGTTGCAAGAGATGCTCAATAAATGTTCCTACTGCCTCGGTCTCAAGGTCCAAGAAACCTTAAAACATGCTGATGAATTTTGCAAAGAAGTGCATTCTGCTCTATTTTTGCAGAGAAAAATCCCAATAAATAGAATGTATGAACCATTTATTATTGTTTCTTCATTTATGTACATTTAAGAATGAAATATACAGAAGCCTTTTTGTATATATGTTTTATTTCATCCTGTCACTGCATTCAAAAATGCATAACTGTGTGGAGCATGATGCTTTTGCCTGTCTACAATCATTGTTGCCATGACTACTAACAAGTATGGGTGTGACATCCATTATAACTAAATGTGCTTCTGTTATCACTTACTCTGAGGACACTTATAATCTGACTGTAACAGCATGGGGCTATAAGCGGTGATCTTTGTAAAGTGGATCGTTTTTGCCTTAAGGCTCATTTGCTTAGAAAAGGGCCAATTTGCACCAAGCGATGCATATTACTTCATTTAAATATGTGCAAATAGCCCAGGAGCAAAGAGACGCTTTTCGCTTGGTAGCGCAGTTAGGGGTACGTAGGTGCTTTGAGAGTTATATTCATTTTTTCTCTTATTTATGCAGGTTTATTTGCCGCTAAAGTCAGGCAATACTTGTGAATTTGCCCCTGAGTGGATCACTGCCATGGTTAAAAACAAGTTATTCATGTGAGCAATCAAACATACATTAACTTGAGGGCATTTGATCCAAAGCTGATTTCTAGTAAGCAGTGAAAGAAATATTAGTCCTCCTGGATTCAGTTTCATGTCGACAGTTAAGTACACATGCAAATGCAATTCTACACCCACATGACTTTGAAAAAAACATATGGTTCTCTTCAAATATCTTTTATATTCAAAACATGTGACTTTTATTATAATTTAGTAGAATGCTGTCTGGCATGTTTGTCATGAAGCCTTAAGAGCTTATAATGCCCATGGTACTTTTTTTTGGTTTATGTGGGCATGAGTAAGGCAGCCAGCTGTCTTCGTGTGTGTGTGTCTGTCTGTGTCTTTGTGTGTGTGTGTGCGGTGGGGAGAGGAACTAAGAACAAAGAAACCTTTCAGCAGATTCTGTTGACTCACCCATCCTTACCGAGAACCATGCACCCGAGAAGGAAAGATGCACTCGCTTTTTTTTGTAAAGAGCACAATGAAAATGTAATGACTATTTTCTTACTATGAATAGGCAAGGAAAGAGTTACTCTAGTCGCTTGCAGTGAAGGGACCCTGTGGTATTAGGGTCACAGGATTGGTGACAAGTCTCCAGTAAATGCCATTTAATTATAATTACTCTAACCCTGTTCCCTTCTGTATGAGCCGTTATTATTTAGTGCAGACATAAGTGAACTCTTCCAGGGTGTGTTAAGCTTTTAAGGAACAAAGAAACTCAACATTTAGAGCACAGCAAAATGTTGATTCCTGTAAAAGTAGTCTCTCTCTCATTACTCTTACTTCTCGATCTTCACATCTATATCTTATCTGTTTGTGATTATTGTTACAGGTTCTCTATTGATCGGACCACAGACCAGGAGATGATCTTTCATATTGATCCTGATTCGGGTGCCATCACACTGAGGAAGGTTTTGGACAGAGAGACCGCAGGCTGGCACAATATCACTGTGAGGGCTGTAGAAACAGGTACACTGCTTCCCTTTTCAGACTGTGCTTATCGCTTGTGTATATTTGTATACTGCTACGATAAGTGGGATTTTGTTATCTGTTGACATTTTCAACTTGCCCAAGTTTATGAGAGTTAAACGAGAATGCTTAATTAACTCCTAAATGTCAAAACAAAGCCTCAAAGCAATGAACCATCAAGATACCAACAAAATAAAATGAATGAGATTAACGACTAATTAAATTTCGACATTATGCCGTAAGCTGTCACAATCACAGTTAGTTATTTTTGTGATAATAAGGCTGCTACATTAAGTAAACATGTACCTAACTTAGATAAGGGTAATCTAAAACTGCTCTGATGGAGAACACTTTTATTCGTTCAAGCTTCCGTTTTTTAAACGAGAAGGTTTTGCTCTTATTGGCAAGCTTTGCCGACACTCATAGCCTGCCAGTGATGGAGAATGTGTTTGAGTTGAATTCTCCCAACATTTGTTCACTCCCACCAGTGTGATAATGGGTGACAGACATCCTCAAACTGCTGTGATCATTAGCTACTAAAGCTTTTGGCACATTTTCAGCTGAAAAGTGTTGTGGCTTAGTACGGTAGTAGAACAGCACTTCAATATGCATTAGATTTTGTTGTAAAACAAAATGTTGATCCGAGAGCAAGATAATGTGATAAAGTGCCATGGGATGAAAATTGATTAATAAATCGTAAAAAATGCCCACACCATTAAATAAAAAATGAAATGTACAATATTAAGTGGAATTAATTTGTGTAAGACCACATTTTACATACTTTAATGTGCCAGTCTTAATAAAAAAATGTATTTAACAAGCATTACTAATATATACACTACTTCAAGATTATTTTCCTTACTTTTGGGTGAAATATATTCACTGTGTGTGCAGCTTCAGAGGCTTATCATATGGAAACACTCATCGTAAGTCCTTAGCCATCAGTGCCATCTTTCTGATAAAACCCCGTCATCATTCTATCACGTGTCTCAGAGCTGACAAACACATGACGGAAAATGAACGAAGAGCTTACATTGTTTTCCTCTCATTGGGTCCTTTTGTAAAAGCAACGGAAATGAAGAATGTCATAAATTGTGGGAGCTAGGAAGTTATTACTATACCATTAGAAGTAAACTTGAGAAAAGGAGGAGGAGGTCTGGTGTTCCCCGCTTTTTCAATCTCATTCAGATGAAGTGATTTTGGGATTGCAGTGAAAGCAGAGGAGATTGCATTCCACATCTAACTGGTTACCACCATTGCACACGAGAAAGTAGAAAGAAAACAATGCACATAAACAAAGCAGATATTAAAATGTCCTCAATGTCCTGTTTGTTCCTCTCTCATATACCCTCAGACTGTGAGTACTCGAATAATCAATACAGCCAAAACAGAACAGCAAGCAGACTCACCCAACACAAACACAAAGACAACATTGGACTTTCTGAGTGTTTTTTTCTTCTTCTTTTTGTTGTTGCTATAATTCCCAGGGCAATTTGGGCTTTTGTGCTCCTCTTCTTTGTGCTTGGCATTATGTCATAGCCACATTTTAATGTTAATTGAACATTTAACACAGCCCTAGCCCTCCCAATATCAGAGATAAACACATGCCTGCACTTGATAGATAAAGCCTCTCACATTTCCTTCCAAGAAAGCATTTGGACAGATGGAGTCAGTGGTCAACGGCGTCACAATTCCCATTCAGAACGCTTTTATCACCAGTTAGCTCACAGAGTCCTGAGAGCTGGAGACACGCAGGCAGGAGACAGAAAGAAAAAAACAAGGACAGGCATAGAAAGCTAAAAGAGACCACAAGAGAGATGGGAATAGATGGGGGATGGGGCTTGTGAAGGAGCCGACAGAGTGTTTTAAGACAGGACTTCATTTTCTCCATAATGATTTTGTTCCTGTTTTTTTGTTGAGTCCCTCTGCTCATTAAGGCTGGAGAGACACAAGGTCAACTTGTCTGAGGACATTGTTAAAGCTCGAATTTTGTGGCCCTTAATTATTCCCCCAGTCCATTACTGACCTTTGAACTCTTGTATTGCTACCGTATAAGTATTAGACAAGTGACAACTGCTTTCTGACAATGCGAGAAGTCTGTGCCCGAGGATTAACCCCGGCTGCAAAACTGCGAGAAATATCCTGAATGTCAATTACCCCAGCATGTGCACCAAGTAAAACATGTTTTAGTTCAAGTGCAAATAAATGCCAACACCATTCACACACCTGCACACCCCGCCTGCCTTCAAATTCACCCAATTAATAGTAGCATCTACTGGCATCTCTTCCTGAAAACATTGTCACAGTAAAATATGAGGAAACAGCCTTTCATCTGTATAGCACTTGTCTCCCTTCTAAAGAACACAGAACCCCCCCGAGTACAGGAGGAGCATTTAACCGCACTGTCACTAGCCGCGGTACTCTTACTTCCTGACAGTCTTCTCCATAGAAAAGTATCAGGGTAAGTTAGAGTGACATATAATTTTCGAGAACTGATATGATATCGCCTTGCAAAACCGCTTTTTTTTTCCCCCAGACAGGTAGGTGGAAAAAAAGAGCATCACCCGAGGGCAAAAAGACACCGAAGTAGTTGGAAAGTCTTTATCTCTTGCACTTTTGAAGGGAACAGACGTTTTCTACAGCATAACTTTTCTTACCTGCTGTCATCAAATGCATGCGGTTTGGTTTTTATACCTTTAGAACATTATTGTCTCTGACTCCAAATGAATCACACACACACTGAGATAAGTGTCTCTTTTCAACCACACTTGGAAAATGCTAAAGAAAATTCATCTAAAGAAGAAAGGAAAAAAAACAACTTTTCCTTTATGTGGAGTACAATACTTGGGTCACATTCAAAATGAGATGACATTTTGTAAAGCACAAAACAGGAGATGCTATTATACTTTTGTAAATGATGCACCAGAGAGTGTTTAAAGTGCCCTGCTTGGATGGATGCATTATATTATTGTAGTGCAAAGCACATCTGTGAACAAGAGTGGGAAGACATAATAATGTGTAATCAGGGACCAGAGGCTGTGACCTGGCGGATGTGTACTGTTTGTCTGTCCTGTTATATAATTACTGAAGTATCCTTTCTGTCGGGGTAGCTGCGCTGAAGGAGGAGATCCTGAATACTTAAACAGTTATTTGATGTGTTGTGTTTTCCTAGATTTGAAAGGTTGTCATTCGTATTTGTATTCACCTTTCATAGCAAATACAATATAGTGGCCAGAGAGTTGTATTGATGTGTCTTGTAGAGTAGCAGTCTTAGGTGGGATGAAAATGAAGGGAACCTTTTTTTGCTTCATCATCTCTGCACGATGATTCAAACCTCACTTGTGATCACAATTGCATGATAACTATTAGTTATTATGAAACCTGAAACTGTGCATCTCTCCAGTTAGTCGAAGAGTAAGACTTTCAAGATGATGCATTTGATCTAAAGGTAGCATGTTCAATTCATTATTTGAATAATAACGTGATGATGCAATTACATTTCTGACTATTGTAGTTAAAATAACTTTTTTTACTTGCTAATGTTGTCGATGTGGTATCTATCTATCTGCAGTCAGCAGGAAATCAAAGTTTCATGTGACTGGAAGGATATAAAATAGACTAACACCAAAATCTCCCATTTTCTTGAATCTTGAGTAGAAGCATTACACACGTTTTCTAAACTCGGATTGCACCTTTTTGCAAATGCACCACAATCAATGATCAGATGATGGAGCCTCTTCTTCTACAGTCTTCACCAGCAGAGTGTTTTGGCAGAGAGACTGTGAGGTTATGTTTACCGATTTCCTTTTTAGAAATTGAAGCTCTGACAGCAGCATCCAGTTCTAGACAAGTGATGTTGACAAAAAGGTATTGTATTATATTACACGGGATGTCTTGACATCAGTGAACCAAGAGTCCACTAACGTATGACTTATCTGGACTGTGTGGATATCTCAGAGGGAGAGATAGCTTTTCATATAGCGTTTTGTGTAACCGTGTTTCAGTTAGTGCAGATGGGAGATCCTATTGGAATTTATTAGAGTTGTTTTAAACCCTAGGTTTTGTGCGGTTATTGATTGCTTTTCTTCATCCTTGAATGGTATTTTGACATGTTACTGAATGACAAGCAGCTGGCACATTACAGAAGAAAAACGTATGCATTTAGAAGCATGTCTGTAATATCCTTGGTATGTGTTCATTCCCAGTTGCATGCAAAATCTGTATTGAGGTTAAACTTATTTTCCTTTTTTTCAGCTGTATAATGTAATGGAAATGTGTGGCTGTCTCTATCTGGATCAGCACCTGAATCAGTTAGCTTGAGTGAAAACCATTGAAAATACCTGTCTATGCTGCCCCAGAACGCCTCGTTGGTGGTCCTAGTGACGTAACGGTCATAGTGACGTAACGGCGGATTGGTCCAAATCAGTGGCGAGCCGTCATTTTTTTTAAATATATTTTTTTTAAATATATTTTTTTTAAATATTTGTTTAGTTATATTTTTCATTAGTTTTACCAAAATAACTTGATTTAATTGTATTTAAAATAACATTTCCAAAGAAATAAATCCTTCGAATCTGCCTGTTCAGTTTCTGTTGGAATGTGAAGGGTTAAATGAAAGAAGCTTTTCTCTGTGAGTTACTGTGAAGACAGGAGCTGATTGGTGGTCCTGCTGTAAATTCACAGAGGGCCCGCTACAGTAACTCAATGAGAGAGTAATGTCAAATGACAGTACAATTGACCGATCATATCTTCCCTCTAAATGGGTGCCGTGACTTTTATACCCTATTTTCCTAGGTATAAAAGTCACGGCTCGCCACTGGTCCAAATCTGCGGATTTCCGCACACACACACACACACACACACACACACACACACACACACACACACACACACACACACACACACACACACCCACACACACACACACACACACACACACACACACACACACACACACACACACACTGTGAGTGTGTGTGTGTGCTCAGGCTGAGTTCCGCGGTGTCTCACTGTCTCGCAGACCCCACGCAGCAACCAGGAAACGACACCAGTAATCCAGCTCACACTGTCCGCTCCTCGATCCTCAAAGGGCGGAGCAGCGAGCCCCGCAACGTCCCGCCAACACGGCACCCAGACCCCACGCAGCATTATGATCTGTTTGTCATTACTGGTGTCATTTTCTGGTTGCTAACGCCATTCTAACATAAACACTGATGTTCCGCTGTAACGGTGGTGGACTCATCAGAACAGAGTGGGCGAGCTGACCAATCAGAGCACAGTGGGCTCATAGGGAGGGGGGTGTAGGAGCTCCAACAAGGCGTGTAGGACAGAGAGTGAATACACATACTATACAGAGATGCTGTATGATAAAACCAACGTGATTTTGGAACATTGAAAAATGTAAATCTATTCTAGTAGACCTCAACAATGGAATTATGATCAGTAGAAATGGCCATGGCATGGGACCTTTAACCATTTTAGAGACTATTGGCAATTATTCAAAGCATTTACAGCTGACAGTTCTTAAACACACAAAATCAGTTATAACTTTAAGTTGTACAATGGTGAGTTTTTGTAATATTGCAACAGTGCAACTGAAGAAAAATAACACTAATACTTTGTAGCCTCTGTGCCTACGTGACCAGGCTTCTGGCTCAGTAAAGAGACCAAAAGCAGACACTGTTGTGAACATTTCTTTCCTCAATTTCCCTTCATGACAAAAGTGACATTTCAGACCAAACTGTGTCCTCCAGAAGAGAAGATGAGCCGTTAGGTCACATGAACATGAGAGTCCTGACACACACCCACGCATGCAAGCACACACATGTGCAAAGACATGCACGAACACTCACATCCTCTATCTGTCTTCGCTGAAGTTATGTCAGTGTAATGCAGTGCCTAAGAGATCTACTACACAGTCATTCTTAAAGATTTGCAACAGCTGGTGAGTGCCACAGAGATGCAGAGCATGCCAATAATCTGTTGAAATCCTTTTTTTCCCTTCTGTATCTGAAGACAGATTTAGCACACCACCACTTGGTCCAGATGAATGAACCTGTCTCAAAAAATAACTCTTTTTTTTTTTTTCCATGGAGGGAGATTGGGGTGGGTAGAGGCGGGGCTTTCTCATATTGTTTCATCTGTTTTCAATTCTGGGAATTCAAATATAAAATGTGTTACATCTGATGATTGTTGGTTTTTATTCTGGCACAGAGGGGACAGCAGCATAATGTGAAGACAAAATTAGAGGAAGAAGAGATGAAATATCTTGCGCTGCTTTTCTGCCAGAGCAGCAAGAACATAAATGCACAGTCAATTAAAATGCTGCATTGATGTGAGGATTATGCGTTTAGTTGAGACCAGAATTCTCATAAGCTTCTGTGCCACTGTTGGACAGAACTATGTGACGAGAAAGAGGGAGAGAGCTTCAGAATTTGCCCGCAAAAGTCTGATAATTATCGCTTTGCCCCGCTGTCCTGTACATTTTTCCTATCTAACCTGAATGTTAGCTTTCCTGTTCATATACCTAATAAACTAACAGCTACAATGCCTCTGAGTTTACCCACAGGAATCAATTCCTGTGGTTTTGTTTTAAGCCTTAAGTCTACCCTTGACATTATCTTCTGACAAATTGCTGGAGCCAGAAAAATCCAAATGGTGACTACATAGAGGAAATTGGGTGAAACTGAGGTGGGGCATGAAGCAGCAATTACCACGGCTGAGTGTGGAAGAGATTTATCAATTAAATCAAACACGCCTCCAAACATGTCACCCTTTAAGCCCTAATGTCTTCTTTACGGAACAATAATTTTAAAAACTGCTGTGAGGACACAAATTAGAGGAGAAGTCACTATTGAGAACAAAGGGAATACATCGACTTTGTAAGGAGAAGTTTAGCACATCTGTCTGTTGTCAAGGTCATTGGAAGACCCAGCGGCAATTATGAGAAACAACAAAATATAAATAATTGATAAAGTTACCAATTTGTACTTTTTTTCTAATGAACTTCAGCAAAAATGTAAACAATACATGTATTTGTATTATTAAAACGTATTCAAGTGTTGTCTATTGAAATTGTTCATTTTACGTTTGCAAAACCAGAGATACTGTATAATGTTTCTGTATATTAATTGTTATATTGAGTTTACCCTTAATTCTGCAAAAGATTACTCTAAATTTGAATTGGTAGTTGAATTTCCAAAAGTCTGTCTGCCTGTGTGATAGGGAAAGCAAATCTAGAATGATGCATGATGTTTTGTATAAAGACTTGCTGTCTTAAATTTTGGTTTATGAATTTAGTTTAAGCTTTCTGAGGTTAAAATTGTAGCAAATACTGAGTAGAACATCTTGGTTCAAAGTAATATTGATGTTTTCAAAGGTAGTTGGATGTAGGGCACTGCCAGCTCACATACGTTTGTGAGATTTATTTTTTACTTTATTTGCAATGAGTACATATAACAACTAAGCATTGATTCAAATTGAAAATGATTCGCTGGATCACCTTACATAGTTCGTTGAATGAGAGATTTCATCTAATTTGCACCAAACTATCACATGATTACAACTATATGAATTCATTCGCTTGATCTAATTTTACTGCAAGGATTTATGTGTTTTTTCATCTGTGGATAATTGTCAGTGGCTGCTGTTATATTTTCTGTAGGGTGCATGAACTTGGTGCTGACAGCTGTGTATACTGATTTATTCATAAGCTATGTATTCTAATTCAGCAAGGTATCCAGACCATCATTTAAAGCAACCAGATCTCTCATTTAACACTGAGTTAATGTTCTCTCTTTATCTCACCTCTCACATACACACACTGCAGCTCACACACACTTAGCCCCCCTCCTGTAGTACAGCTATATGGTGTTTTAGAAGTAAAAGGAAAACTCCATCAGATATTATCATATGATTACAAATGGGAATTAAGATTCAATGAGAAGTGGAGCTAATGTAAAGTAGGTTTTGATTGTACTAATTATATAATCCTCTCTACTCCCACGTTTACAATCTTGCCCATTAAGAACATTCTCTTGAGTGCATTACAATGATATTCCTTTTGTTTTATCTAGTTGAAAATGGCATGAGAAATAAAATTGCAGCACTACATTTGCAATTTTGTCAAAAGCGTTTATTTGTCATTATCATCATGCTGAGGTGTGGCTCTTTAACTGAGACTATTAAACAGCTATATATACTGTAGTGTCATTAACAGATAGTGAGGACCTAGAGACAAACATGGGATCTCTGGTACCATTTCCATGTCGCTCGATGGTGCCACAAAGTGTTTTTCAGGTAATGGGTGCAATTTGTCGAGGCATTAGATTAAAACCCATCAGCACTCAGCCACAATTCCAAACCAAATGTCTGCTTTCTTGTGGGAAATTGCATCCATCTCAGTGTTGTTTCAGTCATACTGAAGGCAGACAAGAATAGTATTAAGGGTCTTGTCCATGGACTTCTACACCTCTACAGTGGTCTCTACCAGCACATAGCAGCAGCTAAGAAACATTTCTGCCACAGCTCTTGACGCTATTAAAACATGTCTGGACAGATGTTGTTGATGCATTTCCTTTTCATCTCTCCTGTAGAAAACCACACCATGGCGTCTCACTCAGCAGTGAGTATTCGGATTCTGGATGTAAATGACAATCCTCCTGAACTGGCCACACCGTACGAAGCCTCCATATGTGAAGATGCCAAACCAGGACAGGTGAGTTTCCCTAATTTAGAATGTGTACATGTCATATTAAGATGTGAATTAGTACAAGTCGGAATGATGTAGAAAAAATGCAATAATCATGGAAGTTAAAATACACAGAGAAATTATTACAATAACAGTCATATTCTTAGCCCTTCTTGATTCCAAAAAAACACATGTTGTCTTAAGGCTGATTCATCTCAAGTTAAATTATTAGCCTGCTTTGTCATTTATCATTTGTGAATGATTGGGAATGTGTAGTATCTTCCTGCAATCTGCATTATTCTTGATTTAGACATTAATGTGTCCCAGATGTTACGACACCATGACAGAACATGTAAGTGAAACATCAATTCTGTGCGGTGTGAATTATTGCCACATACTTATCTGCAATAATTCATGAGGATATGCGAAAAGACTGAAGAGTTAACAAAGATTTCAATGATGTGTGAGAAACAAAACAATAAAATTGGGTCTGAGCTTATTTAACATACAAATGGGAACATAAATAAATGTGTTGTCATTCAAATGTAAAAACCGTAAACTAGTAAAAGGCAGAACTGCCAGAAAGAAAAGTTTGAAGATAAAATGTCAGTAATAATGGCAGAATATACCTATACGACAGTATCACAAGTTTAAATTGTGATATCTGTGCCATCGCATTGATACAGCATATAACTGCTACCTTTCAGTACTTCTCTTCTGTGATCTATCTGACACTTTGTACTGAAGGAAATGAAAAACTCAGCTTTTGAGCAAAGGTATAATTTGCCGTAGAGTGTCAGAAAGAGAGCCAGAAACAAACTTCCCGTTTCCAAAAAATATATGAATTTGCTCTTTCTTTTTCATGCTGAATGCAGAATAAAAGTCATGAGGATTAATATTTCTCATATTTCCGTATTGGAGTTCTGATCTAAGTCAGCACTGTTGTTGTAAAAACTAAATCGAATTGACTTGGGAAATTCACATTTTATAGATCCAGAAATTGTATGACTATTATCTCTGCCAAAAAACCATTTTGTCATGCTTTTTAACACGCTCTTCATGACAAATCTGCAGTCACGAAAGCTACAGTGAAACACATGCAGTCTGCTTATGGTGTTTCTCTGCTGATCTTTTTAAAACCATTTGTTACGACTGAGTAAACGGGTTTGAACTCAAATGCACGACTCACACAGGATTAAACAAAAAAGGGTTTATTCAAACCAAAGCTCAACAACGGTGCAAAAAACTAAATCACTCTTAATGAGGAAAAACAGTAACACAACAAAATCACTCTTAATGAGGAAAAACACTGGGAGCATAAATGACAAACGATACTTAAACAAGACGTGGCTCGAAGCTCTGCTTGGGAGTATTCCTGGCAAGATAACGCTGGTTGTTTGTCACAAAGAACGAAACGAACTGGCACAGGACAAAGGGAGACGAGGACAATAAATACACAAGGTAATGGAGAACAGGTGGAAACAATCAGGGGCAGGGTCGACAATCACAGGAGTGGGAGACACACAAGGAAGGGAGGTCAGAATATCTGAAACGAGAGGGAAGGTTACTAATCTAAATAAAGGGGAAAGTCACAAGACAAAGACAAAAACACTTAAATAAACTTAACATAATTTGCGAGAGATGACACCATTTCAAACAAATGTGAGAGAGCAGTTAACACAGATAAACATGAATTCTTAAATGGCAAACAAATAAATGTTGCATCATTACCCAGCACCAGTCAAACAGTGGGAGTCTGTTTAAAAAATGAAAACAAAAGGTGATGCCACGGTCATTTGCAATCCAGTAGGAAGCCAGGTCTTTCCACTGATCACCATTAAAAATGGACAAAGTCATTAGGGTGTTTTATTCTCCTAACACAGTCAACAGGCCTTGGGCTGAGTTAAACCCAATTATCATGTGCAGAGCAAAGAAATAATTAAAAAAGCAAGGCTTTAAAGTGGGGCCTCCATGCTGGAAGCTGCATTTACATGTGTAATGAGGCTCAGGCCTCTCCTCCCCTTGATCCACAGACTCTTAACCACTTATAGCCCCCCTGTGCCTCCGCTACGCCGCATGCCTGCGCCTTTCTAGAACATTGTCTGGTCTCATCTCCCTCACTCCCACCTCACTTTCTCTCCCATCTGCAAGAGCCCACATTAACCTTCAGCTCCTAATCACACAGAGCTGATTAGTCTTCCAGCAAAAAGATCATTGCTGGCTCCCAGCATTGTAAAATAAAGGGTTTTTAATGCTGTCATTAGAGACAAATGCAGCAAAAATATTTCACAGTGTAATTACAAACCAAAAAAGGGATTCCAAAGTACACACAGGAGAAAATGACATTCAGCTTTAGATCTGTATGTCTGTCTATCTAGCAACACTGTATGTCCATCTCCCTCTCTGTTTTTCTGTATTCTGTGAGTTACCATGAAATGACCGGAACATCTGACAATATCTGTTTATTTTATTTTCTCTGTACAGTCTCTTTTTGTGAGATGCTCAGTTGGAGTTGGCTGCCGAGATGGAATGAAATGTGTTTGCCTTGGGTCAAAGGTTTTTTTAATGCTTATGTTCACCCTGGGGTACCAATGGGGGGGCATGGGGGAAACAATTTTCTCCTCCATGTTATTTTCAGAACAATATAAAAAAAACACTTTTCTCTAGTTATTGTCAGGCATTTTACCGTTGAAAAGTGGATTGAGTGGTGTGAAGAAAAGATTTTGCTCCGTTGATTTGCTGTGTCTACGCTGGTGCCGTGAGCGGGTGATTGTAAAAAGAAAATTATTTTTGTCAATCTGTTGTTGTCCAACTCAAAGAGAGAATTGAATGAGCAAATCCCTTGAATTAATTACCCGTAGATCATGTTCTACCTTTCCATCCAAGCGAGACCCATACAGGTTTAGGTAAAGACAGGATACACAGGACTGACACAAAAAATGGTCTCGTAAACAAAATACAGTTCGAAGTTACTGAATCAATAACTGACATTTTGAATCAAAATAGTGTAAGCACTTGTGTAAGTGTAAGCACTTGAGAGGTAATCAAGTTGTTTATCAAGTGTCCGACCAGAGCAATTTGGCCACATCCGATATTCAAGCTATCACTTGCACTGGTCCGGGGATTCGGAACAAGCAAGATGATGTCTTTGTGAATCATTGCCATTGATAAATCATTCCATATTTTCCTCTTCTCATTCTGCCTCTGCAGCTTCTAAAATATCTGTCACAAAATCACACACACCTTAGCCAATACACATGCAAATATATTGTATTTTTTTCCCCCACGCTGCTCCTGGGGCACTGTATACTGTAGTTACTGCCAGGTGCTGCTACGAATACTAGGATGGGAAAAACGTAGACACTAAATGTACTTGTGTGGTGCCTGTATGTAATGATTAAACTACAATCCAATTCTCAATTTCCAAAGCTAACCATAACAAACAATGCTGGAAATACTACATGTTTAGACCTTTTTTGCTTGGAAGTGTCAATTATACAATCATACATAAAACAATAACTTTTTAAAAGTGTAGGTTAATATTAGAATAAGGTACCCCACTTTTGAGAGTTATTTTGCTGGTGTTCTCTTACAATATACATTCAGAAGTAAAAGACGAAGGGTTCTGTAGAGGCAGAGGCTGTTGCTTGATATGTTGAAACACTTTGATTTTCTACTGCCTCCAAGGATGTACTTATTTATGCAGTAAAATAAGCTGCCAAAGGAGGAGACCATGATATAAACATCTACCAACAGATGTTTGCTTGTAAAATGAACCTCAATTTTGTTTCAGCTCTCTAGAATGTTGTTAATCAATTTTGAAACTTGGACAGGGCAACAGCTCTTGGAAATAGGCGTAATTAAGTCAATTTGTCTTTCACCTGGAATAGACGTCAAAGAGCTCTGCCTCACACAGACGCCTCTGGACTCAGAGCCCCTTGCTCACCTCATCTGGCCTCTGTGAAAATAAAACCATAGCGAGGGTTGTTGCTGCTTTGTTTGTCGTCTAGTGATGGGAATTCCGGCTCTTTTTAGTGAGCCGGATCATTTGGCTCGGCTCACCAAGAAGAGCCGGCTCTTTCGGCTCCCAAACACCTCTTAATTTTACCACATATACGTTTTGTAATTCAATCAAATGTTGCCCTGTTTTGACTAATGATTTACATGTGTACAAATATATCACTTAAATGATTCAATACATCCTTAGTACTGAAGTATTCAAAAGTAGAAATTACCCTCAAAACAGCAGCATCCAACAGTCTCTAATCCTTGGATATTACATGTCACTGCATGCATGCATGCATGCACGGAGCACCCGTAGCGTGGAGATCATCGTATCATTCTGTCTTGTATTACTTAACAAAAAACAACAACAACAAAAAATGGCTCGTTCGCGGACGCGAGCCGGCTCCCGTCGTTCACTTAATAGAGCCGGCTCTTTGAGCTGGCTCGTTCGCGACCGACACATCCTTATGTCTCACCTTCTTTATAGGCCTGCGACACTGGCAATTTTAATTAAAGAAAAACAGCACACCTGTTATCGTTCAACTGACTCAACTGTCAAATTGTTTGGCTGGAGATTGTATGCTTTTCTCAAAAGAGTGGTCTTTTCCTTTGTCGCCATTGCAAATCAGCTCAAACCCATCCGTGAGGCATTATGAGTATCCCTTGATTGATAGCAATACTTGATTTTGGCTAATTATAAGCAAACAGTCATTTATTTTATAACTAAATCGTTCAATCAAGCTGTCAGTGGAACAAGCCATATATGTGTTGTTTTCATCAGTTTAGGGTCTTTTTATTCATTATTGTTTACTGATGTGACAAATTCTGTGAAAACACAGGTCAGCCAGTCTATGTGTTGTGTTATTTTGGATCTGTGTGTATGTGTGTGTATGTCTGTATATATGACATTGTGGGGACCAAACGCTGTTTTAATACAGACATTGTCTGGACGCACCTACCATCTGTAAATCTTTCTGCACATAACCATCAATGCATCCATCTTGTCTTTCTTTTTCAACCGA